CCCCCCCCAAGCCATAGCCAACACCTCAAGCCACAACGACCACCCCAACCCACTGCCACCACCCCAATCCATAAAAAAAAACCATCCCAAGCCACAGGCACAAACCCAAGCCACAACCATCACCTCAAGCCACATTAACCACCTCAAGCAACAACCACCTCCCGAAGTCACAGCTACCACCCCAAGCCACATTAACTATCACTCGCCTTGCGTTGTTTTACGTCTGAAGCGTGCTTCAAAGCACACATTTAAAGACCCTGTTAATGGGATAAAGCAAATGATGATGATGAAAATAAAAACAAAACATTAGAAAATGTCCTTTGCATCTTTGTGTAACTGCATGGAGAAATTACATTGATGCACAAATGGCACTAAAAAGAGATGCAGAGAAGAATTTGAATCCTACGGGTAAAAAGAGAAGAGAAAGAGGAGAGAAGAATAAGAAAATGTTAATTTCAATTCATTCGATCAATGTGATCCAAATTCAAGTCATAGATTTTATTTATAGAAATATATTTAAAAAAATTTATCAAATAATTTGATATCAAAACTAATTTTTAAAAATCAAATTTAAAATTTAAATTATCCAAAAGGATAATTCATAATAAAAAATCAAGGAATCCTATTAAAACTCAAATAAATAAAAAAATAATCTACAAATTTTTCACATAGAAGTATGATTTTCATGGTAAAGTTGGAGTAGTTATTTCTTGAACATATCTTGCATCTTCAACATATACAAACATGACATGTGAAGCTGAACCTATTGCATCAACCCAGTAGTAAAGGCAGAGGAACTTGAAAGAGAGTGGTGGGTTACAATGATTCTAGACATCAAGTAAAGAGAAGACGATGCTTCAAAGAGCAGAAGAGTAGATAAAAACTCCTCTCGATCACATGCCCATCTTATCAAGCAATTTTGACGAAGGAATGATGTTGCAAGGGATATGAGAGTGAGAAATTAAGTGTGTGTGTGTGTGTGTGTGTGTGTGTGTGTGCATTTTTGTTGGATTAAGCCAATTTATCTTTACTGTTAAAAAGGATTTCTGAGTTAGTTTGAGGCTCCAACAATTTTATTTCACATTTATTAATAAAAAACAGCAAAACAATTAAAACAAACGCAGACCTATCTCACTTTACATTCCTAATACTTCCTATCAAACAGTTCCTTGGAGCATTACAAATCAGAAATTTCTTATGTAGATTTTGTTCCTAGAAAAATAGCAATCCAAACAGTAAACCAATAACCAAAAGGTGCTACATGAATGGATCATAACACATCTCATTGCTGATAAAAAAGTCAAAATGATAGTTTCCAAAATCTGCCTTTGTAAAGCACATCCCTATTGTTAATCAAAATAAGAGGTTTTAAAGGTATCCCACTCTAAACATGTGGTAAAAGAGAGAACATAATACTTTATGAACCCATTGTTGGAAAGAAATGAAAGAAAAAAAATTAGAATTAATCAAGCAAACATGCAAACACTCAAAATCATTTCAGCAACTGCAGCAAAAAAATTAATCCTATTTCCAATGCCTCTTTTACAATATGTTATAATTATAAGCTTACTACATGAGGAAAAATCTAAATGCATATGAATAAGTATTACTGCTTTCACAAATGTTCAAAACCTGAAAATTTTATCAAAGATTAATAATGACCTACTTGCTCAAGTGTATGCTGTGCAAGATCATTTGTAGAAATCATCACCCCCGCAGCGAAAGAACCAAGTTCAAGGCTTAGTCCCAATTTGTCACTGCACTGCAAAGATAGTTAAACAAGAAATATAAAATAATGAGTACTCCACGATTTTAAACTTTCTCACGGCTACGCAGAAGTCATTGTTTAAAGGCATAAACAAAAAAAACAAGTAAACAACAAAAAAAAAAAGTAGGTTATTTACTCTACGAGATGTAAAATAGAGAAATAAGCACTGGACAAAACAGCATTAACAATCACTTGAGTTTAAAGGTGTAGATAAAAAAATCAGTGCCATGATGTACTAAATCATCAAAATTAAGCAAAGAAACAGGTAAATAGATATATGATACGAGGGAAATCACTTCAGGTTAAAGCCGCAAATCAAACTTATTCTAGTGAAGCTTTTAATAATATAATACATAAACCTCCCTCCAATGTTATCAAAGCATAATGTGATATGTAAGATTTTATTTTGCTTCAAAGCGCAAAGTACAAAACGAAGTGGTGCTTTTCATAACCAAAGCATTAATAAGTTGTATAAATTATTAATATATAAATACATTCAAGAGCAATTATAAAAGAATACAAAATAATTTAAAATGTTCATATAAAAGAGGAAAAAATGATATACAAGACATAAACTTGAAGATTTACATTGAGTCTAAACATAAAAATTAAATTTTCAAATAATTTCTAATAGTTTATTGTAATAATTAAAAACTTAAATATTGCAAAAAAAAATCTTTTAACTCAACAAAATCTAAATTTTAAGGAATAAATAAACTAATAAAATGTCACATTTCATAAAATAAATTGAAGTAAATCAGTAGTCTTCACATATCTTTCATTTATATAACCACTTTCTCCTTCAAAAAGAATTTCTTCACCTTCAATTTTTTTTACTTCCTCTTTATTTCTTCTTGTGAATAACTTTCTGGCAAAAAATAAGAGGATACATGTCAAGTTAAACTCATCATCATTAGATATGATTCCCCCTTTCTTATCCAACTAAATCTTATAGATCATCTTCGATCATCTTCTTTTGAAGGTTCTTCAATTTGTCTCCAAGTAAAATTTTTATCACCAAATTATTGCTTACGAGCATCCTCCATTTCTCCAATCAACCACTCAAAGCTTTTATCAATGGAATCCAAACAATCGAATCAATAATATCTCTTAAATTAAATCTTCTCTTTAAAGCTTGATTAAATTTGAGAAAGACTAAACCATTTTAGCAGTTTTGATTTAGTCGACTTCTCTTTTTTCATATTAATCTACCAAAAAAAAAAAAAACTAATAATAAAATAAATACATAGAAGATATAAATTATTTAATATATTTAATATTTATAAATTATTAACATTCTTGAAGGCACTCTTATTTCTCTCACAAGTTGCTGCATTGCAAATCAAACTTAATATTTTGACCGCCAAATTTTGTAAAGTTGGAGTCGATGCACATACATCTCTCAACACCCTATTTTTATAATTATAATATCATTTTAAACAAAATTTTTTAATTAAAAATTGAAAATAAAATTATGATTTTGATTAATCATATGTGGAGCTTTCTTATTTCTGTTAGGGATGGCATGCTCAGATGCAAAAAGACCACTATCATGATTATATTTAAAAAGTTATTTATCTATTATCATTCTTTCAATAGGATCTCTCACTAACCTACGAATAATTGCATCTGATTGTATCTTATAAACTTATTCTTATAAAAAATTGAATTAAGATAATATCCAGTTTGATACAAAAGTTGTCAAAGTTGACACTTTTTTTTGTTATTAATAATCCAAAAGATTTACTCATTTATTTTCATCTCCTCTAAATATTCCACTAATTGCATTCTTGACTTTGTCCATTGCATCATAATTAGAACCCATTGCAGGTCTTTTGTCCCCGTCTGCTAATATCAACATCTTCACAATTGAGCTTGCAACCTTCAAAGTGTAAGACACACCATCGCAAAAGCTAGATTTAGGGATGATCTCCTTAGCCTTATATCTTTTATAATCAATACAAAATCTATACTTATTCCAATCTTCAGAAACAAACATATGCCTTAATTTTTTTTTCTTTTTTCTTACTTATATATGCTCGCAAAAGTGAAAAATGAATGCCAAATGACTGATGTTTGGTCTCACCAATTTTACAACCCTAATATATTTCCTCATCATTTGAAAAATAAATCCATGATAATGAAGCCAGTTAACTTTAAAACTATTTTATAGTATTTTTTACCTCACCCATCTTTCCAATATCCTCTAACATAAAATCAATGTGTTGCACATGATGTCAATATATATGTATTTTTTTTCCACTAGCATTTGACCTACATAAACAAAACAATGTGTTGAAATTCTTTAATTTAAATAAAAAAATATATACAAGCACATCATAATAAATAAATAAATTATTGATCTGCAAGAACATAAAGTGGTTATCTATGAACACTTGAAGCACATTCTTTCTAATTTTTTATGTGTATGTAAGAGTTTAAGGAACTTCATTGCAAATTTTAAATATTCAAATGCATTTATGAACTCGAAGAATACAGTGTCTGTAGGTGAATTAACAAAAAAATTAATTATGGCTACGATCAGTCCATCCATCGGACATAAGAGTGGCAACCCTTCTCTTCCCTTTTTACTTTTTATTTTTTTTTTTTGATCTTTCATTTGATTCATAGCTGACTATAATTTTTTTTCAGGCAGAGAAACTCTTTCATGAAATGACGGTGGTCAAAGGCTTGATCCATATTATCCAATTGTCTCGACCATATGATCAAAACTCTCTAATTTTATACTTGAAAAAACCACCTAGCAGTGTATCACACAATCCTTTCTCTGATACTCGCATCCACATTTTCTTTAATTTATCATTGACTCATATTTTTCCTTCTAGCAACTTTTTTATGCATTGAATTTCTCATTTTATGTGTCAATACTCTTCTAATCCAGAAATTGATTCAAATGCTCTTTTACAATAGTGCAAGAGCAGTTGAATATTTATTTCTTCAATTATATCATTCACCATCTCATTGTCTTCCATATAAAAATTCTATCTAAATTATTTTACTCCTTCATAAACAAGCACTTCATCTCTTACATCTAAATGTACTTTCTTACACTTAAGAACATTCCTTCTTTTTGGTGTATTTAAAGGGTGTCAATCATGTCACGACCGACCTAAGACTTCAAATTAATCAAGGCAAGAATGGACAGTCAGATGGTGGAATTAGATTTTCTGTTATTCTAATTCGATCACTAAAAGTATAATATCCACATATTAATTGAAAAGAGCCAAACTAAAAGAGGCAATTAAATTAACAATTAAATATTTATCTTTCTGGTTATCGAACACGTCTTCTATACACATTGATTTCTCTTCTATTTATCTTATTCAAAAACTTAAAATCTAAAAAAGTATTAAAATAATATATATCTCTTCTATTTCTCTTCTATTTATCTTCAATAATATCTCAGTGGAGAAATCACGCTTCCAAACAACAGTAACTAAAGAAAAAGAAAATAAAATATATGTTAATCTCTACTAATATATTCTGAAAAATCATATAATAATTTACAGTATATATAATTGTTGTTTGCTATAGAAGAAATATAAATTTTCTACATGGATTCTCTTTTATACTACTTTTCAAAGTGTAATCTCTTAAGTTTTGGTATTCTTTATATTCTTAACTTTCACATCCTTCTTAGGAGCGTCGTTAAAACATAACCTAACACACATCTGACTAATATTATATCACCAACACAATAATTCATGATCTAATTTATATGATTGTCTGAGGTGGAAAGATATTACTCGTCGTTGGCCCACATTGTCATGTCAGCAAAGCAATTAGCAATCTAAACATCACAATTGTCTAAGATGCAGAATAACATATACACACAATGGTATACTTGCATCTCCTACCTGTACCATAAGGGATGAACCCCTCTTAGCATGCGTATACAAGCATTCACATATACACCACTTCACTTTTTCATATCATACATTCTTTTATTATGACATTTTACCTCTATTTACTGATGAAAAAATATAATCTTACTAAATCTTTAGGTCATACAATAATCTGATATATGCATATAAAATGGAATTTATAGATTCTGTAGCCATAGAACCTCTTCATAGGAAAACTAAATGTAACTGTTTCTACATAATTGCTACTATGCATGTTTTATACATAATAATAATATAAAGAGTTAATTCTAATCTAAGCCTCAATGATATATAACATAAAGTATGAAAAATGAAATCAAAATACAATTAGAAATGATAAATATTACAATAATTTAGAAACATAACTACCCAACTCGATTTTATTTGATGATTCTTGAAGATACTTAATCTTTGATTTCCTTCTCAATTTATTGTTTATAAAGGCAAATATAGCATTATGTTAATTTATTACCTATATTAATCATCTTAATTCTACAATTATTCTCAAAATCTTAAAGTATTTCTCAATTACACATTATTTTAAGTATTAACATATGTTCAAATTAAAGGACATATAAGTAGAACTACCTTAGTTTCTCTCTTTTGGTTTCCTGCAATAGAATATAGCTCAGTCAACCTAGCTCAATGACCTCAACATGCCAAAATCAGATATCATTCAATAAAACTTACTATTCATAATTATCAATATCACTTTAAAGCAATAACTTATAATTTAAATAGAAAATCCTAATATGATTTATGTTGCTAAATCTTCTCATGTCCGAATTCGACTATTTTTAATCTCAAGTTATTATCATTAAAAAGCAATAAAACTTATTTAAATGCATTTACTTGACTATAATTAAACTTCAATTAAACGCTTATCTTTAATGACATCACAACTTATTCTCCCTTCAATTCGAATAATCCTCAATAAAAAAAATTTTATTAAATAAAACTTAATATTAACATTTAATATCTTCTCAAATAATTAATTAATTTAAAAAAACACAACACATTCAAACCCTAACATGTTTTCCTTGAGTTTGGTTCGACAACCTATTGCACAAACCACGCATGCAAAGCCTT